CTCAGCCCACCAGGGGGCGGGGCTGGCTGGCATGTGGTGCTGGGGGATCGAACCGCAGTCCCTGTGCTTTCCCAAGCTTGTTCCAAGTAGGTGCTTTAGACCACTGAGCCATCTCGCCAGCCCCCAGGCTGGCCTTTAACTCACTGTGTAGACAAGGTTGCCCTCGAACTCACAGCAATCCCCCTACTTCAGCCTCCTAAGTGCTGAGATAACCGTTACGTGTCACTACAGTGAGTCTGGCCTTACATTTTTTTTTTTTTTTTTTGGTGGGATCGGGGATTGAACTCAGGCCCTTGTGCTTGCCAGGGAAGCACTTTATTCCAAGGGCTTGAACTTTTAATAGTGATTTTCCTTTATGTCAGACAACTGAGTTTTGTATTTAAAATAAAAATCAACTTCATTAGGAATCTAACTAAAGAAATGCAAATTAAACCATCACTTAGATACCAGCAAGAATTTTTTTTGGCAGAACTGGGGATTGAACTCAGGCCCTTGCACTTGCCAGTTAAGTGCTTATTCTCCTGAGCTATCTCCCCAGCCCTCAACTAGAAAAAATTTTTAAAGAGAATGAGACAAAAGATTCATTTTTAGAATATGTAAAAAAAATCATCAGGACCCAACAGTAAACAAAAAGCAAAATCCAGTTGTAAAAATAAGCAAAAGACAGGAAGAGACAGTTCAACAAAATAGATATATAGAGGGCAAATAAGCAATTAATGAAAAGGTTGCTCAGAGTGGGCCAATAAAATTTTTTTATTTTTTGTCTTTTTGAGACATGGTTTTGCTATGCAGTTCAGGCTGGCACCGAGCTCATTTTGTACCACACTCAAAAAAAATTTTTTTTAATTTTTTAATTTTTGGTATCAGGACTTTGCGCTTGCCAGGCAGGCACTGTGCCACTGAGCTGTATCACTAGCATGAAATGTTTTTTAAAGGGTTGGGGATGTAGCTCAGTGGTCCAGCATGTGGCTAGCGGGTGTAGGTTCAATCCTCAGAATCACAGAAAAGGAAAGAAGGAAGAAATGTGCTGTACTTAATTTTCAGAAGGCTTCCAGTTTCTTCAATGTCACTCTTACTCTCTCTCCCTCCTCTGGCGCAGATGGGGTTGTACTCGTGGATCCGGAGCTTGTGAAAGGAAAGAAAGGTGAGTCGGTACCCAGCCTGTGCACCCATACCCCCACCATGGCTCCTGTCCCCAGTGTCACTGGGCCCTGCAGTCTTTGGCACGGAGGTGCAGCAAGTCATGCGTCACTCGTGACAGTGTGTAAAGTGAACTGGACAGATTCAAGTGACAACTCTGATGATGGGGCTGCCTCATTGTCCTCCTATATGCTAACAGGAATGTACCTCTGCTACATGAGGACCTGCATGTACAATATTCAGATTTAAGAAGTGGTCAAAGGCACCTGCAGCTTGTCGGCTTTGCTTTTTGAGACAGGCTTTATTCATATACCTCTTACATGCAGTACTATAATGTATAACAGAACATAAACTACAGCAGTGTACAGTAAAACCAGCAAAAATTACAGTGCTATAGAAACAAGGGGTACTGCACAAAAAAAGACAGTGACTTTATAAACAGGATTGCAGAACTGTACAAAAAAAAAAGAGCAGCTGGGCAGCCTAAACG